ATTCTAAATTATATAGACATGGAGATATCGGATCAGATTACTATAACTTTTGTAATTTAAGAATTTCATGGATCATATTTTGCACGGAGTTTGCGATGACGATGATTATATTTATAACTTATAAATATTAAAACTTTATATATATATATATATATATATATTGACATAAACATTTTTCAAAAATATTTGCAGCTTTCAAGTCTAAAAAAATCTCCAAATATTTAAAAAATATATTCAACTATGAAAAATTTAAAATTTAAAATAATTAAATCTAAATTACAAAAGAAAGTCTCAAAATCATACTCCCTCTAATATTGATATATTAGATGTTTAAAAATATAAAATATTTTTAGTCTTTTAAGGTATAATTATTGCCTTTTTTTTTAAAGTACCTCTATAGATGAGTGACTTTATATTTATTGTAGGGTATTTTATAAAAATAAATATGAAAATATATGATTAGTTGGAAAGTAGATAACTACTTCATTGAGGGGTGGGATTCGATTAAAAATGCCTTACATTTTTTAACAAATGAAGTAGCTCTTTTTTTTTTTTTTTTGCACCACTTGAAAATTATAGCTCATGGTAATTAAAGAGAGAAGAATTATAGCACAAAATTATGGGTATTTGCGTACGATGATTCACCCAGGAAAATGATAGGTCTCCCATGAGAGCATGAGTAATAGTTTACTCTTTCCCATAAAATTCTAATTTCAATTTTAATGTATACATATGAGTTAGTATGGGGGTATAATTTTATACTACATAAGATAACGTCAAATAGTTTAAATAAATAATGTAAAAGAATGTAATATATATACTCCCTTCGTTAAAAAATATATGACATTTTTAGTCTTTTGAGGTGTAATTATTGCTTTTTTTTTTAAAGTGCCCCTATCGATAATGACTTAATATTTATTGTAGGGTATTTAATATGGGTAAATATAAAAAGATAGAGTTAGTTTGAAAGTAGATAACTACTTTATTAGAGGTGGGATTCGATAAAAACACCTTATATTTTTTAATGGAGGGGTATTAGTTTTTTAATATTCTTTTGATGACAAAAACTAATAATTTATTAGATATTTATGATATAAAGATATAATTTCCGACAAAGGGACTATGACATTAGTCTTTCCTTCGGTTGAATTATATATTATAGTATCTCTACATGTAATTTCCTTTGATCGATTGGATTTTCATACCGCCGTTGCTATTCTCTTCTCTTTGATTCATATAACAATGCAATGTATACTCTGACAACAAGGGGTTTTTTTTTAGGTTATCCTTTATTAGGTTGCTTAAAATGCGGGCAAAAGTGGGATGAAATATCAAGTGTTCGTGATATTCGATATTATTATAGTCCCACTTTTGCCTTTTACTTAATACATTATAGAAGCTAAATTTTTGGATCACTGCTTTGATTTGATATGCTATTACGCATTCTAATTTCAACCAGGCTATTGAATTTATCTGCTGTCTTCGTATTTGTAAACTGATAAAACTTAGAATGTATTCCCAATCATACAGAGAATTGTCATGACATAAGACCGTGTGTTGGGTTCAATCAAATCTAGATTATTTAGATGTGGCAATGATTTTCTTAACCCTTTTGTTTTCAGTACTAATGTTCTTAATACTAGATCAAACTGGCCAGTTCAATTGGTTGCATTGAGAATTGATCCTAAATCCATTTTATCACCATAGAAAATTGAAAAATTGAGAACTAGTTGAACCAGTTAAAATCAATAAAACCGACAAGAAACCAATCAAACTGGACATATTATTTTTTATTTTTAATTTCTATTTATAAATTATAATTTATATATAGTTATACCTAATAAGCATTATGAAATGAAAAATGCAAGAAGTATATATATATATATATATATATATGAATTATGTGTATATGTATTTATTTTAAATTTATAAATAATAAATTATGAAATAATTATGTATATTTCCAATGAAAATGATGTAATATTGATGGATATTATGTTTTTTTAGTGTATATTATTTTATTTAAAATTTAAACATTCATTTTTGTTACTATAAATGATTATTTCTTTATACTTTAAATATATAATATTTAAAATATATTAATAATTCATAATCATTTGGATCATAGTCTAACTATTGAATCGTTAACCAATATTTTGATTGCTTCAATAGCCAATTCAGTTATCAAGACATTGGTTTTTTACCTTGCATGTCCCTGACACAAATGAGAAAGTTTGCCTTGCAAGATATTATGATGTAGGTACCTAAAAGAATCAAATAACCTGCCCTTTTGATATGATCAAAAAGGACAACTAAATCACATGATTTGTAAGTTTCCTAGGACTCATTTTAAAATGGGAAAAAGTAAATAAGTTATGTTTAGAATCTCGTGGGGGTTTGGTTGGATTAAACATTTTTCACTATTTTAGAATCTGATAAAAACAGAGACGAGGGGACAATGATTGATGAGTTGCTGTAGAAGTGGTGATGCCCATAAAACCTATAGCCTGGTTATTTATTCTCTACAAGAACTTTGATATATTCTCTATCAAAGATTTTATATAATTGAAATCCTTAGAAGTTATTGGTTTGAGTTAAGCTCCCAAAACCAACAAACTTGATCATCCTTCTGCACGCCAATATCTGAAAATCCGCCAAGACCATGGATCTAGCACAGCTTGTTTTGTTGGGATCAACTGTCCGTGTCATGCTGATAATAATAGCTAGATCATACTCAGTAATTTGACTGTGTTGAGAAATTAAAATTCACCCACCATTCCCTAAAGCTCCTCGCATTGTCCAGATAAAAAATCTCAGTGATAGTCCACAGCCAAACCAAACGCGCGCGCACCCACACCAACAATATGCACACAGTGCCGCACCCTTACAAAGATGGTAACAGAAGTGAAGCTGTAGATAAGAAGGCAAACTGATTTTGTCTATGTGGTTGCTATTATTACTGTCTAATTTTACTGCATCTTGCTGCTTAATTGGTTACATAATTTGGAGCACAGTTGTCTAGTTAGATGTACCCAAATGGCTCTACTTTATTGTCACAAGTTTGGAATAAAATTTCTCTTCCTTAATGTTAAGTTGCTAAGCATCCTAGAAAGCATACTCTACTCTGTAGTGAGTTCTCTGTTGTAGCTTGTAGGACCTGTCGCGTAACGTTTTATTCAATGAGTAAACCAGAGAAAATAATTGTTCTTTGGGTCCGTTTTTCTGTAGGAGTTTATAAAATCGAATTGAATTGATAAAATCGATCATCAATGACTCTAATTCAGGCCCAATTTTTTTGACGAACAATTATTTAACGCTTATTTAGATAATTTGAGCTTTGGTAATGGTATTTATGTAAAAAATTATGTAAACTCGTGAAGATTGCGAGGCTTGGTTCGCATTATTTACATGGCAAGTGCAAAATCTACTCTCTAAACGCCGTGGTTATGATATCATTGAACAATTGGCCCTCTTACAGACGATAGTGGATTGTGCAGAGAATAAAGAGCTCTCTCGCATATTCTTCATCTTGTTAGCCCAGTCATCTACTTACACTGTCAATTCCCGATGCTCTTAAATAGCGCTCGGTAGCTGTCTCGCCCAGCCCTGTATCTTGCTCGTTTCTCCTCTCTCTGATATCAGTTTCCCTCCTTCACTGTCGCGGTTTGGCTGTTGACATGGGTGTTTTCCATTCACATTTTCCCTCCACTAATAATTACATCTCTCTCTTTGCAATGACAATCTCCTATTTACGTTGCCCGAATTGGTTTCTTAAAGATCAAGGTGATTTTGAAATAAAAGCATTATTTACAATCCCGCAACATGCATTGAGATGGTTTTTTTTTTTTAATACTTTATCTAATCCTATTTATTAGTCGCATTCTAAAATGTTTCCTTCATTTTTGATGTACAATTCCATTGTTTTTCATCACAAAATTTGATGTACAATTTTGAAAATATCCTCTTACAAATTCTGAAAACGTGTGTAATATTTCAGTTCTCAAAAAAAACTATTGCCCCATACTCCTCCAGTTTCTACGAGATAGAGAGAGAATATTTTAGTCCAACTTATAAGACAACTTAATGATTATTGTAACTAATTTTATCATTCTATCCCTATTAAATGTTAAAAAAGTTATTAAATATTGAAATTTTTTTATAAACAATTTTAGAGTATTTTATTATTAATGAATAATAGGAGTAAAGTTGAAAGCTTGTTAAATTTTTAAATAAAATTAACCATGTTTAAAAGTTATTAAAAATGCTGAAAGTAAATTACAAATATGATCAAAAAGAGTTCTCCCCTCGTTTTTGACTACAAGAGATTTTTAAATTAGTTTATTATAATAATTATATTTGAAATTGAAATGTTTGAACTAAAATATCTTTGTAATTAATGTTTACTTTTTTTTTTCTCTAAATTAATGATACTATCCATTTATAAAAGACAATGTAAGAAAAATATAATTAATATTTTTTGAAATATGTAATTTAGCTCATAATAAAAAACAAAGAAACATATAATAGTTTCTCTTATACTTAGAAGGGGAGTAGTATTAAATAACTACTAAATTTAGGTGAAAAGTTGAAAAATGAATTACTTTTAAGACACACTACCAAGGTGAGTTAATTAGAAATGGCTTATAAAAAAAAAATTAGAAAAGTACTTCCTCTTGTCCTCTTTATAGGACACGGAGAGAAAATTTGTCATATTTATAAATCACGTTAATAAATTTTCATCACAAACTTCTCTTTTCACCCTTCATTAAATGTTAGAGAGAGGAAACATATTGTTAAAGTGTGTGTGTATTTAATTTTGGTAAAAAATATATATATATAATGAGGATAAAGTTGTCAACTTAAAATTTTTTTAGACAGTTAAAAGTTTTAAAACTTTCCTTAATTTCAATAAAACATGTTAGGAGAGACTTGTAAATAGATCAGAGAACTACATGTTATCGATGATTATATTATACTTGTTGGCTTCTTTACTAAGATCACGTGTGACATCCTTAAGCAATACACAAAACTATCATTAGGTTAAAACTTAAAAAAGTTACATTTAACTCTCTTGCGATGCTTGCATACAAGATAAAGAAACTAAAAGTTGGAAGATGACTATATGTAACATCTTGATTTTAATTCCCTGATTTACTAAGTTTAATTAAGATAATTAAATAAGTTGACATGGTGTGTGGTTAGAGGAGAATAAAAAGTGTTTTTAGTTGAAATTTCAAATATAATTTAGGTTCAAAGCGAAATTAGGTCACTTGAGGATCAAAAAGTGAAAAAGAAAACAAGTTAAAAAGCCTTTGTGCCACATGCCTCGGTGCGTGCGTGGTGTGTTGCAGCACACAGGGCCACCAAGAGAGAGCTGTCTTCTCTGGACCCATGCCATGGCGCATAGGGATAGGCGCCCAGCGCACAGTGCGAATTCTGCAGAAATAAGTCACAAACTGATGTGAAAAATAGAAGGGAAAGAAAAGGAAATAGAGGAACTCATATTTGCTCTGCTAGGGCACGATCTAAGGGAGGATTTGAAATAGTTTAAAGCTTCAAATCATCCTAGGTAATATTCCTAAACCTTTTTTCTCCCTTTCTCTTCCAATTTCTCAAGGATTTGAGTTAGGATTTAAATGAAGATGATGATTTAGGTCTAAATGAGTTATGAGTCCAAACTCATTGACTCAAATAGAGTTAATGAGAGTTTTTTAAAGTATTTAAACCTAGTATTAATGATTTTAGAATGATAAGTTCCATTAATGTCCGAAAATGAACATTAAATCTGTCATTATTATGGTTGTTGAGGTATTAATGGCAATGTGAACATTCAATAAAGCTATATGATATTACGATAGTTAATAAACCCAATAGGTAGGCCCAAGTGTGACAATATAGGCATTGGATAAGTTAGAAGTCGAATATGAGTTGAGAGTTATATATGATCGACATTGTTGATGAAATCCAACTTGGTTAATTGTAGATTAAGCTTTTAGACATCAATTTGGCTTGGTAATTCAAGCTTGGAAGCTATTATAGTAAGGTAAACCTTTCACCTCTCAAAAATTTAAGGTAACCGGAGGAACCCTACTTTGAGTAATTATCTGTTAATTGATTGTTTATTGTAAAGTTGTGAACACTACATGCACGAATTGATTTCCAATATTTGAAAGTATGATTATACATAATGTCATATTTGGCTTGAAATGTAAGATGTGAAATCAATATGATTTTCAAACTATGAATATGTATATGTTTTAAGAAGATGAATGTGATATTATGTCGAGGTAAATACGTATTAATGAAAAAACGAGTTATTATGAAAAGTGAGGATAATGTTGTGAAATGTTAGTGAAGGCTCACTTGGGTAGCGCATAATCGTGAACCCAATGTATGATTGTGATAAACAATAAACAAACATGTGAAGATGAGTGAGCATCGTTTATGGCATGATTAGTGGGCAAGAGTTTGTCTAAGAATTGAGAGTAGAGGAAAAATCTATATGATACTTTGGCTGCCCTTTGATGTATTAGATTATAGCCTTGTCTTACAGTTTATCAAGAAACTGTCTCATAATTTGTTGAGGAACTAAAACCTAGCTTTCTCTACCAGTTCAACGAGGAGAATAGCCTAAGGTGTGAGACATTCTAGAGATTCGAGAGTGGGAAAAGTCGTGGTCCGAGAGTGAATCATGTGATCTTTAACCAACTCACACATTATGATTGATGAGTTTGGGTAATCCAGTGACACAAATGAAGCTCTATTCAGTGTTACAGCCCATGATTTCAATTTGAAGAAAGGAGGGTATAAGGTTGGTTGATTATTATTTATGTAAACTTATGACGTGTCACATGTGATATATCGGATCATGGTCACATGTCTGAGTGTCCTATGATGATGTACTTAGCATTCGTGAGATGAAAACGCATTAATTGGATTAATAAGTAATTTGTGCTCAGGCATGTTTTATGAACTTGTTTTCACATGCATGTGTTGATTTACAATTGATATATAATTGCATATGATAGATTTTATCTTAATTACTGAATGGCTAGACTCATTTCTCTTTAACACTTTTCAGGCTCTAGCTCCAGTACAAAGAGGAAGAAGGCTCAAGAAGGTAGGCATTAATATATTTTTACTATATGCCTCTAGTTTATATTTATTTTTATAGCAGAATATGATTGCCAATTCTAGATTGTATACCATCACACTTGCACTATTTTATTGTTACAAATATTTGAGTTGTATTTTGGGCCTCGGATATTTTGATATTTTGATATTTTGAGTTGTATTGATATATTGATAGGACCAAAATACTAGTGCAAGTACAGAAATGATATTTTGATTGGTTTAGATGCAATGCAATGAAAATTACCTCCCCCTTCTATTTTTGGTGAAAAAAAGGTTGAGAAGTGATTTTGTGATATACAAATATTTAAATGCATGTGACATGTTGTACTGACATTATTAAGTCCAATAGACATGATCTAGGTGTTAGAACAGACTTTTGATACTTGCTGTGAGTTTTGGACACCCTTTTCGTGTGAAAGTTATAAAAGGTGGTAAAAATATGTTTAGGTGTCCAACTTCCTGATGTGATTTGTTTTAGAAGTGAAACCTGCGCCACTAGTTAGTTTATGAAAAGAGCTTTCTGTAAACACTTAAATCATGTCAATTGAACGTCAAACGAAGAATCGAGACTTATTGAAAGTTCTCCAATTATTGCATGCAACACACCACAGCGCATGATGCTTGAGTCAAGGTGCGTGGCGCAGAGAGTAACATGCCATGGCACAACATGCACGAGCCACAGTGCATTGCCTTATCTCACAACAAATGATTTGTTTTTCAACTGTTTTTGATTTCTTTCACCCCTCCGAGGTATCCTATACTTTCGTAACTTATTTTTGCTCTGATATAAGAGATTATTATTAATTTAAACTCATTTTGATTATGAAAGCTTGGGATCCTTGATTTTGAACTAAAACTTGATAATCACCTTTATGAGTTAATCTTTTGATTATCATAAGTTTTATTGATTAATTATGGTTAGTAGTGAAGGATTTTACACTATACATATCATCATCATATAAGAGGTATCATCCATGAGCAATTTTGTATTAGTGTGAGGAGCAAAGGAGATCAAATATGAAGTGATCACCACCCACTTGGAAAAAAATAATATAATGGTTGAGAAGAATCATGCATCAAATGTGGTCTCGAAAAGTGATATCAAAATGAGATATGAGACCTAAAATTTAGATCGAATCATATACACCCACAATCCATGACACCTACAACCAAGTAAAGAATTCCTACATGAGAACGTCATGAATGGAGTGATTCATGAAATTATAATTTAAATATTGATTCATGAAATTGTGATTTAAATATTGTGTGCATCTAAAACTTAAGTTTAAACAGTGTTGTTAAACCAAAATCAAAATACACTTTTGAAAGAAAAACATCATAGCATGCAATTCATATTGCATACACTTAGATGACTACAATAATGGAAGTGGATGGGATGATCCTTGTTCCATTGCTATGTGAGTGAAAAAATCCTATGCCAATTTAGAGACAACAACTTTAGCTTGTACCCAATGATCATAAGTGATTTGATATAACGGGTTGATTACTGAGAAAGCAACTAAATAAGACTTGATTGATAACTAATCGAATGAAAGATTAACCCTGAGACACACAACTATGTTTATATGAGACCAAGCCCCCAATGAATAGACCTATTAAATAAGTATGGGACCAAGCCCCAAACGCTCACGAGCTAGTGAGTTTTGAGCTGAGGCTGAGCTACAACATAAGCACACTTAGCATTAACGACAAGCTAGAACATAGGCATAGATGGCATCAATGTTGAGGAAGGTTAGTGAAGGCGTCGATAGCATGCACTACAAAATGCACAAATAGAAGTTTTAGGGCACTTGAAGTTAGGTTACGAAGTGAATGGAATTGATCTAAATATTAAATAGTATTAAATATAAATTGGATGGTTATATCATTTACTGTCCAATAGTATTTAACATTAAATAATTTAAAATATATATCTCAATTAGACAAGAATTTTAAAAACCATCCAATAAACTTCTTCAACTCTACTTATTAAACAACTATGCATATCACCATCATATAAGAGGCATCATATGTGGCAATTTTATAGTAGTATGAGAGGCAAAAGTGATTAGACATGATGTGATCATCACCCACCTAGAAAAATGGTGGAATGGTTGAGAAGAATCACAAATCAAATATTGCCTCGAAAAGGGACATCGAGATGGATGGATGGATTCAAGTTCCATTACTTGTGAGTTTTAAAAAGGAAAAAAATCCCTTCATAGTGCTCTTGGGACTTTGACATCATAAGAGACTAGTTTTGTAACACCTACTTTTTCTCCGATCCCATGATCATGAGTGATTCGATTTAATGGTTTGATTACTAGGAAACTAAATAAATCAAACTTGATTGATATCCAATCTAAAAGATTAAACTTGAAACACACAACCAAATTAATTTTTGAGACGTGTCCCTAAAGTTATGCAAAAAACTTGTAACTACAAGTACTAAACATATGAAAAGACAGTTTGAGTTAAACATAATTAACTTGAGAGGCATTAGATTTGCCATGGGTAATGTGTATGGGCATAAATATGAGGTGTTTGAGGCAACTAATAACAACAATGCAGATATACAAATGAATGCCTTTGTGTGCGGATCATGTCTTAGGATTTCTAGTGCTCAAACATCTAAATTGAGGACAACTTACTCAGCCAATCACAGTATAATACCAAGTATGAAATAAGCGAGATGAGAATCGCACAATAGTAATTCTATCAAGTGCAAGTAGAGCCGGTAATTCAGGCAGGCCGGACTTATTTGGATCAAGCTTAAAGTATCCTACTTTCCTAGAAAAACTCAGCCAAACTCAATGCTAACTTTTTTGGCTGGATTTAGGATAGCCCTTCGGGCTCGGCTAAAATTACCAACTCTATATGCATATAAAATTAAAAATTTCAATGCTCGGGCTTATTTGGTTCGGGCTCAATTCGAGCCAAACTTATTTAGATCGAACTTAAAGTATCCTACCCTCTTAAAAAAACTCATATAGCCAAGCCCAACCCTAACTTTTTTCGGGCAGGTTCGGGCTTGACCCAAATTACTAACACTAAGTGCGAGTACAAAATGTTAGAAATTACAGATCCACCCTTGATGGGAATCTAATAATGATGTCAAATTAATGAGTAATTACTTGACATATTTTGGTTTAATGAGAATTGATTGGAAATCAAGAATTAATGGTGGATTGATTCTTGATTGAATCCAAAACAAGAACTCTTCCCCCATATTTATTGTGAAATATTCCATCACATTAATTCCCTCAAGTATGAGGCAAATTATGAGTGGCAACCTCCTATGCTATAAAAAGTAATGAGTGATTGAAGAAAGAACACACCCCAAAATGAATACCTCCCTTCTCAGCATTTGTTCTTCCTCCTCCTCCTCTCTCTCTCTCTCTCTCTCACTTCAGTACATTAGTTGTACACCTAAGAAAGGACTCTAATAAGCCTATTTAGGTTGGCTCTCTCACAAGAACACCCGCATTCGATGCTCATGACACTGCTAACAAAAAAAGAATATTGAACCATCATATATTCATGAAACAAATATTGGACGATCATAAAATCACCCAATTTGTGAAAACACAGTGGACGGTTGTAGTAACAGTTGTCCAAAATAAGGTGTCTTGAAAAAAAAGGACATCTTTAGATTGGAGATGAAACCCAAAACTCAATTAAAACATAAAATTTGTAATAAAAAAATGCCTAAATGCTAAAAATAAACATAAACATCTAACAATTATATTTAATAAACATAAATATCTTTAAAAGAATCATAAAATGAGAAAGGTTGTGCACCTAACTATTTCCAATGCATGTCAAAGATATGTGCTCAACTGCTCAAAACAGATTAAAAAGAATATAGTTACCTCATCCAAATACAGCAAATGGAACAGTTAAGCCATACTGCAAAAAACAGAGCTCACGACCCTGTCAAAATGTCAAAGTACAAGTTAGGACATAGTAGATCGAAATGTTCAAATCAACTTTTGTGGTGGAAACATAATTCAAACAAAATTATTAATATCACTAAAATCGTCTTGGCAAAGTCACGAATCCCCTAGATACTAAATTGATATACTCAAGACAAATTATTAATATCACATCCCAAATCTACCCCATCTAGGAAGAGAAATAGCAAAGAAACAAATCCGTTACTTGTAGCTAACACCATAAAAAAGTAGAAAAGATTTGTACTTGGGCAGAAATCTATAGTCATTGAAATCACAAACCTAAAGACAAAAATTCATATTCAAATACTTGATAGTAGGTCACAGTCATTTGGCCAACTAATTGAAGATGTTGAAAAACAGTTTGGTTTGATTCATTATCAGGATTTATGCCCCCTAACAAATGTCAGTTGTTAGTGAATTATGTTCATGCTGTTTTATCTGCAATGTAAGCCATGTTTTTAATAACCAAAAATTACTATTTTTAGAACATAGAATCAGTTATATGATCAACAGCTAGTGCAGAATAAATCCCACCACTTACTATTATAGATTAATAAGAACACGCACGATAACTGAGTAAACATGCAAGACATGAGTTTAAACAGTTGCAGCTATTTTAAAATTGCAGGAGCTAATTTCCAAAAATAAGAGAAAAAAGAATAAAATGAAATCAATTCGAATGTAGTGATTTGGGACATCAATGGATTCTGATTTCTGAGAACTTCTAAAAAAAAAAGATGCTTAATTCTTTGCCTTCATGTGCAAGAAGCTTGATTTGGTACCACATCAGGAATATTGCTATAAGAATAAAGTCACAAACCTGAAAGGTCCGCCTTATAATTTGATATTCCAAAAATCCCTCTTCACTAGTACATGCCATTCTCTGCCTTAAGCCATCTACTCGAGTGAGAAAAAAATCAAGAAATAATATCATGATTCCAGAGAATTCCTGCGAAAGGACAACAGATAATCTCAACCGAAAAAAGGGGAAAAAAACATAGATAATTTATAAATATAGATGTGTCAGATGACTGTAGGAACCTGTTGGCAGCTCTTGCCGGTTTTGCAACACTCCGACCCACTTTTGGCAAATTCTTGAGTCCAAAAATCAGAGAACCACTCCACCAATGAGCATGGGTACACCCAAACCGAACAAGGCATTGCAAGTGAAGGGGATCATCAATAAATCGGCCAAAATCCCTACTCATAAAGCGATCCATTGGCACAGAAGTAGAGTGGAATTTTTGACCTGAATCAAGAGGCTAGACACGCCCCAGCGGAGAGACCCGTTAAATAAGTATAAGAACAAGCCCCAAATGCACGCTAGCTGAAGGAGAAGATTTGAGCTGAAGGCGAGCTAAAACACAGGCACACTCAGCATCAACGACAAGTTGGAACACAAGCATAAATGGTGTGGATGCCGAGGAATGTTAGTGAAGGCGTCGACAGCACGCACTACATAATGGAGGAAGAGAAATTTATAAGGCACTTGAAGTTCGGTTATGCAGTGAATGGAATTGATCTGAATATTAGATGCTTGTTAACAACCCTTCAATATATAAAATATATATTCCACGGTTATATTTAACCGTTCAATAGTATTTAATTTTAAATAATTTAAAATATATATCTTATATATTGGACGTGAATTTTAAAAACCATCCAATGTGCTTCCCCGGCTCTCCTAATTAGACAACTGTGCGTGTTACCTTCACATAACAAGCATGGCAATTTTGAAGTAGTGTGAGAAGCAAAGGAGATGAGATATGATGAGATCACCACCAACTAATAAAAAATGGTGAAATGGTTTAGAAGAATTACACATTAAATGTCACCTCAAAAAGTAATATCAAGATGAGATCTGAAACCTAAAATTCAAATCGAATCATGGATACCCATGATACCTCCTGCCATGCAAAGAATCCCCAAATAAGGATGTCATGGATGGAGTGATTCATGAAATTGTGGTTCAAATATTGTGTGCATGTAAGACTTAAGCTTGAGTGGTGTTGATAAACTAAAATCGACACACACTCTAAAGAAAGAAACATCTTAGCATGCAATTCATATTGCCTGTGCTTATATGACTGCAACAATTGAAAGGGATAGAAGGATCCATGTTCCATCACTTTGTAAGTCCTAAAAAGGAGAAAATCCTTTCATAGTGCTCATAGGACTTTGACAATGTCATAAGAGGCTGGTTTCATGATAGCTACTTTTGCTCATATCCTATGATTAAGAGTGATTCAACTTAACGATTCGATTACTAGGAAAGCAACTAAATCGGATTTGATTGATATCCAGTCTAAAGGAAGACTAAACCTGAAACACACAACTGTGTTAGTTTTTTAGACATGTTCCTTACAAGTTATGAGAAAAACTTGTAAGCGCTAGTACTAAGCATAAAAGAAAGCAATTTGAGTTAAATATATCTAACTCGAGGGGCATTGGACATGCCATAGGTAATGTGTATGGGTAAATTTAGGGTGCTTGAAGCAACTTATTACAACAACACAAGTATACAAATGGATGCCGTTGAGTGCTGACCCTTTTATAGGATCTTCAAAGCTCAAACATTTGAATTGAGGACAGCTTGCCTACCCAGTTACCCTATTACAAGATCACACGATCGTAGTCCCATGAAATACAAGAAGGAGACGTTCAAAAATACGAATCCACCCTTGATGGGAATCTAATAATGATGCCAAATTAATGACTAGATACTTTTTAACATATTTCGTTTTAATGAGAATTGACTAGAAATCAGGAATTAATGGTGGATTAATTCCTGATTGAATCCAAAACAAGAACTCTTCCCCTGTATTTATTGTGGAATATTCCATCACATTAATTCCCTCAATTATGAGGCAAATTATAATGATTGGAATTTTCCTTTCCACAGCGGCCTCCTATGCTATAAAAAGTGGTAGGTGGTTGAGAAAGAACACACCCCAGAACGAATACCTCCTTCTCAGCATTCGTTCTTCCTCTCCTGCTCTTTCTCTCTTTAGTACATTTTTGTGCTTTTAAGAAAGGATTCTAGTAATCCTATCTAGATTGATTCTCTCATACAAACAACCACACTCAATGCTCATGACACTACTACCAAAAAGGACATATTGGACCGTCCAATATGAGACTGTTATATATTTGCAAAACAAATATTAAACGGCAGAATGGAGGAATAGAAATTTATAGGGCACTTGAAGCTTGGTTACGAAGTAAATGGAATTGATCTGAATATTGGACGATTGTTAACAACCCTCCAACGTATTAAATATATATTGGATGGTTATATCATTTAATCATCCAATAGTATTTAATATTAAATAATTTAAAATATATGCCTTATATTTTAATAATCGTCCAATATGCTTCTTCAACTTTAATTATTGGACAACTATATATAAAACTATCCCACAAAGAAAAAATGGTGGAACGTTTGTGAAGAATCACATATCAAATGTCGTCTCAAATAGTGATATCAAGATAAGATCTGAAACCTAAAATTTGGATTGAATCATGGACACCTATGATCCATGATACCTACAACCAGGCAAAGAATTCCTAAATAAGAATGTCATGAATGTAGTGATTCATGGAATTATGGTTCAAATACTAGGTGCATCTAAGACTTAAGCTTGAACGGTGAAAATTGAGGTAAGTCCAAGTACTGAGCATTTGAGAAGGCAGTCTGAGTTAAAGATAATTAACTCAAGAGGCATTAGACATGTCATGGGTAATGTGTATGAGTAAATTTGGGGTGCTTGAGATAACTTATAATAGCAACACAAGTATAAAAATGGTTGCCTTTATGCATTGATCCTATTATAGGATTTCTAATGCTCAAACATTTGAATCAAAGACGGCGTGCCTACACAATCACGGCAAAGTGCCAAGCATGAAGTAAGAGAGATAAGAAACGCACGATGGTAGTCTCATCAAGTACGAGTAGATGTGGGAAATTATGAATCCATCCTTGATGGGAATCTGGTAGTGATGTCAAATTAATGAGTAGATACTTGACACATTCCAATTTAATGAGAATTGATCGAAAATCAAGAATGAATGATGGACTGATTCTTGATTGAATCCAAAATAAGAACTCTTCCTTAGTGTTTATTATAAAATACTCCATCATATTAATTCCCTCAATTAAGAGGCAAATTATGATGATTGGAGTTTCTCCTTTTGTAGCACCCTCCCATGCTATAAATAGCGGTGGGTGACTATTAGGAAGAACACACCCCATTATCTGTTCTTCCCCTCCCTCTCTCTCTCTCTTTTCGGTGCATTTATCGTACATCTAAGAATGACTCTAGTAGTCCTGTCTAGCATGAGTAGTCAGGTAGACTCTATAGTGTTCGAATTTAGTGAGACTCTATCCCAACTTCTTTTTTGAATTATTATTTATTTATAATGTCCTTCAAATGGAATAGACTCTCTCTCAGTTTCTACTCTCCTTTCTCCTCCCTCTCTTCCCCTCTCTCTCTCTCTTTCCAATTATACCTCTATAAGAGTGGAAAAGTTTATTCCATTCAACTCAATATGATTCTCACAAATCTACTTACAGCCTACCCAATCCCCTCTACTAATAGACCTAAGCAACTAAGGCCATTAACTAACTCTAAGTAACTCTCTCTTTTATTACAATTATATATAAGTTGATATGAGGTTTTTCTACCACGAAGTGCATGAATGGAATGAATAACACCTAACATTGTGGATAAAACCATGACACGGAGTATAAAACCATGAATCTTCCAAAACTACTACAACTTAGCAAGGACAACTTTACAAGTATAGACATTGAAATAAATGTTTTAGTAATACAATTTAAAAGGAGAGAGTTGGATCTTAGCATCTTACCTTGCCACCTCTAACGAACGGTTTCTGTTTCACTGAGCTGGTGTGTGCGTCACAAAATTCGCGTAGAAACAAATTAAAACCGGTGAAAGGATAAACGGAGTAGCATTTTAGCAGTAAATTTAATGCAGATAGAACATCTTCAGAAGTTATAAGCATACCATGAAGGCGGTTTGCTGAGAGACCACCATTTAAGGGAAAACTATTGTCTGCAAGACTCTGTAAATAAATTGTGGACATGGATTAGATTAAAATATTCAGCATTAGTGAATAATGCCAGAGTGTATGTGCACCAAAAGGGGGGGAAAAACCGTCACATAGGTGACGATTTCTCCCAGCTGCTGCCAAATCACACTTGGTTTTAGAGGTTTTTGTATAAATCACATCATCACAATGCAATGGCCCAGTGCCTGGCTTTGCGTTTAGATGTAGCAACCAAGAAGTCAAACTGAAAAATCTTTCAGCAATTATGATATGATATCAATAGTAGCAATGCATTCAAGGAAAGCGATAGGCATAGAAAGATTTCAATACTTGTATATGCCATTGGAATGAGAATGTGTTGTATAGCTAACGCAAATAAAACTAGAATGAGTTTTTGACATCCTCACAACGATTTGTCAATAGATTCTTTCTCAAGAGAAATGAGGAGTGGGGAGTAGGGAATAAATGAGTGGCTTGTACAGCAAAAAGGCTGAATTATTGTGTTTGGCCATATAAATATAAATGAAGTATCACAAACGACTTAATTAAAGGAAACAATATATAATCCACCACAAAAATAGGTGCCAAATTGAAATGGCATTTAAATATGACAGAAGTGAAAAACTATTAATAGAAATCTGAAATGTAACGAAAAACATACTAAGAATCAGTGTCAGCTGTAAGGTAACATCAATAATAAAATTCTGGAGCAGAAGAATCAGAATACAGAGAGCTAATCATGAGTCATGGCATCAAAATCACCTTGGTTTGAAGGTTTCAGCATTTATGAGTAGATAAATAAACTCAGCCCAATTTTTTTGGAAAGCAAAATACAGGGAAAATTGATGTTACAGACCTGCTAAGAAATTATTTTCCACAAGTAACCAGTAGTTTCATGGCTCTTGACCAACTTAAATACACTAGTGCTTAATGGGTCCTTGAGGATTTATATCATCAATGGCTCGTAATCATCACAGCCAGTCTTCCTTACACTAAACTCAACAAGCTGAATGAAAAATATAAATATGAAATATTGCACTACACATAGCAAATATATCATTTATATCATCTATATGATTTATATACAAGATCTCCTATCGATTTACAATGACTACCTCAAAATGACAATACTTTAAATGCTCGACAACATGATACATTTTATATAATATATGATTAACATTCTTCATAAATGATGAATTTCATTTAAAAATTGAGAAATATATCTATAAAAATATAAAGCAATAAGAATTTTTTCAAGACATGTTTAAGCTAAAAAAAAAGTTTAAAGAAAGAATATAGATAAATAATAGGAAGTGAAAAGATTAAAAAGATGAGCTTATATTTAAAAAAAAACTTTAAAATGAAAGAAAACAATCAAGAAAAAGAATGAGAAAAAACAGAGAAAGAACGCAATAAGTTATGTATGGTGTGTACGTATGGTGGTTTTATCAAGTCCTACATCAAAATATAATTTTTTAAAGAAAATAAATGATGACTTTTGTTTAAAAATTGGGAAAGATATCATGAAAAATATAATGCGTTAAACACATTTTCAAGACATGTTTAAGCTAAATAACAAAATCATGTTTGAACAAAAAATATTGATAAATTATAGGAAGTGTAAAGATTAAAAAGATGTGCTGATATTAAAAAAAAATTACAATGTAAAAAATCAACAAAAAGCACAAGGAAAAAGAAAGAGTGAAAGAATGCAATGAGTAAGATGACTTTCGTTTAGAAATAGAGAAAGATATCATGAAAACTATAATACATTAAACACTGTTTCAAGACATGTTCAAGCTAAATAAAAAATCATGCTTCAACAAAAAAAATGTAGAAAAATAATAGAAAATGCAAAGATTAAAAAGACACGCTTGAAAAAACAAAAAAAAATTAACAAAAGCATGACCAAAAAAGAGAAATAATGCAATAAGTTAGACATGGTTTGTGTGCATGGTGGTTTCATCAAGTCTCACGAGGAAAATATATTTTTTAAAGAAAATAAGAGATGACTTTTATTTAAAAATTGAGAAAGATATTAGCAAAAATATAAAACATTCAGCACTTTCTGAAAACATATTTTAGCCAAATACAAATATCAAGTTTAAACAAAAAAAAATGTAGATAAATAAAACAAGATGCAATATATTTAAAAAAGATTTAAAATGTAAGGGGAAAAAAAGAGAAAGAAATCAAAAAGTTATATATATTGTGTGTGCATGGAAGTTTTATGTAGTCCTATATTAAAAATACACTTTTAGAAGAAAAAGAGATGACATGTTTAAAAATTGAGAAAGATGCCAATATAAATATAAATCATTAAGAACTTTTGAAAAACATATTTAAGTTAAATGAAGTGACAAGTATAGACAAAAAATAGAAATAAGTAATAGGAAGTGTAAAGATTAAAAAGAAGTGCTTATATTTTTTTAGAAAAGCTTTAGAATGCAACAAAAACAAGGAAAAAGAAAGAAAGAAAGAATGCAATGAGTTATGCATGCTTTGTGTACATGCTTCTTTCCTTAAATCCCAAAATAAAAATATACTTTTAAAGAAAACACTTTAAATGTGTGATAATATGGTACCTTTTTTTTTTTAAGAATATAAAGATTAACATTCTTCATAAATGATGAATTTTATTTAAAAATTGAGAAAGATATCAATAAAAACAAAGAGCAATAACCATGTTTTGAATATATATTTAAACTAAAAGAGAAAATCAAGTTTAAAAAATATAGATAAATAATAAGAAGCGCAAAGATTAAAAGATGCTTATGCTTAATAAAACTTTAAAATGAAAGAAAAAATCAACAAAAAGAAGGAGGAAAAAAAGATAAACACTGTAATGAGTTATCTATTATGTGCGTGCATGGTGGTTTAATCAAATACCGCATCAAAAAACTATTTTTTTAAAAAAGTAAAAGATGACTTTTGCTTAAAAATTGAGAAAGATTTTACAAAAAATATAAAAAATAAGCAATTTTAAGAAATATTTAGAAAAATCAAGTTTAAAATTAAAATATAAATAAATAATAGGAAGTGGAAAGATTAAAAAGATGTGCTTAGATTTAAACAAATTAAAATGAAAGAAAGTAATCAAGAAAAAGCATGAGGAAAAAAGAGGAAGAATGCAATGAGTTTTATATATGGTGTGTATGCATTGTGATTTCATCAAATCCAACATAAAAAATATATTATTTCAGAAATATTTAAGCTAAATAAAAAATTGAGTTTAAAATTAAAATATAGATAAATAATAGGAAGTGAAAAGATAAAAAAAACATGTGCTTATGTTAAAAAAAAGTTAGAAAGAAAGAAAACAATCAAGAAAAAACAATCATAAAAAATATAATGCATTAAACACTCTCAGGACATGTTTAAGCTAAATAAAAAAAAAATCATGTTTCAATAAAAAATATAGATAAAAAATAGGAAGAGGAAAGATTAAAAAAATGTGCTTATATTTAAAAACGCATTAAAATGTAAAAACAAATCAACAAAAAGCACGAGAGAGAGAGAGAGAGAATGCAATGAGGTAGACATGAGGTGTGCACATGGTGATTTCATCTAATCCCACATCAAAAAAATATTAAAAAAAAAAACAAGAGATGACTTCTGTTTAAAATTTGAGAAATATATGATGAAAAATATAATGCATTAAACGCTTTTTCAAGACGTGTTTAAGCTAAATGAAAAAGCATGTCTTTAACAAAAAATATAGATAAATAATAGGAAGTGAAAGATTAAAAAAAAATGTTTTGATATTTAACAAAGCTTTGCCATGTTAAAAAAATCAACAAAAAGCACGAGAAAAAAAAGGTGGAAGAATGCAATGAGTTAGATATGGGATGTGTGTATGGTGGTTTCATCTTGTCCCACATCAAAAATACATTTTTTTAAAAGAAAACAAAAGATGACTTTGTTTAATAATTGAGAAATATATCATGAAAAATATTATGCAATAAACACTTTTACAAGACATATTTAAGCTAAATGAAAATTTATGTTTCAACAAAAAAATATAGATAATTAATAAAAAGTGCAAAGAATAAAAAGATGCACTTAAATTTAAAAAAGTATTAAAATGTAAAAAAACAAAAAACAAAAAGCGTAAGGAAAAAAAGAGAAATAATGTAATGAGTTAGAAATGCGATGTGCGCATGGTAGTTTCATATAATCGAATGTCAAAAATATATTTTTTAAAAGAAAATAAAAGATGACTATTGTTTAAAAATCGAGAAAGATATCACAAAAAATATAATTCATTAAATGCTAAAAAAATCATGTTTCAACCAAAAAAATATAGTTAAATAATTGAAGGTGAAAAGATTAAAAAAATGTGACGTGTGTGATGGTGGTTTCATCAAGTCCCACATCAAAAATATATTTTTTAAAAAACAACATAAGAGATGACTATTATTTAAAAATTGAGAAAGATATCAATAAAAATATACAGCAATAAGCACTTTTGAACACATTTCTGCTGAATATAGATAAATAATGGGAAGTGAATAGATAAAAAACAAGTGCGTATATTTAAAAAAAAAAAACGTTAGAATGAAGGAAAACTACCAAGAAAAAAACAATCATAAAAAATATAATCATTAAACACTTTTTCAAGACATGTTTAAGCTAAATAAAAAAATCATGTTTCAGCAAAAAATATAGATAGTTAATAGAAAGTGCAAATATTAAAAAAATGTGTTTATATTTAAAAAAAGCATTAAACTGTAAAAAAACTCAACAAAAAGTATAAGGAAAAAGAGAGAGGAAGAATACAATGAGTTAGAAATGAGAAGTGCCCATGGTAGTTTTATCTAATCCCATGTCAAAAATATAAAGATTAAGCACTTTTAAAAGACATATTTAAGCTAAATAAAAAATAAAGTATAGACAAAAAAAGAATAGCAATAAGTAATAGAAAGTAAAGATTTTTTAAAACGATGTGTTTATATTTAAAAAAAGTTTTAAAATATAACAAAAAGAGCATGGAAAAAAGAGAAAGAATGTAATGA